CGACCAGTTCCGTCTGTGGCTCCAGACAGAGTGGCTGCTGAGCCGCGATAAGCAGGACACCAGCAAGTAGGCCTCTCTAGGGATTTCGTGTCCAAGTTTAGCCCCTTGGACCTCCAAGCCTCAAAGCAAGCTCAGCCTCGAACCCCATTTAACGACCTTCAAGCAAAGCGGTGCTGGACGAGACGATGACGTGGACGAAGCGCTTTGGATTGCTAGTTGCATCGTGGTCTTCGACGACGAGTGCGCAGAAACCAAACTTCCAAAATGCCCACACCGACCCCAAACCCGCGGGCGCGCGCGGGGGCACAAGCCTCTGTGGCGCTGAAGCCAAAAAGGCGATCTTCCACCTTTGGTTTCTTTGGGGGGATTCAGGGGTTGGGGTCAGGGCTTGAACCCTAAACTTTTGGTCCAACGCAAGCCCCCGCGTTATTTTTCCCAAGCCCTCAGTGTCAAGCCTCTAATTTAGGGGTCGGAATAATTTACTAATAATAGTCCCTTATGGTCCCTTTGAAATTATACTATAGCTACCCCCAAAACCCTATTCTAATTCTTCAGGCCCCTAAAAGTACCTCCCCGCAGGAGATCGGGCGAATGAGGGGCCCCTGAGGGGCCCCGACTCGCTGCAGGAGTGCGGCGAAATCCTGGCTCTCCAGCAGGTCCTCCTCCTGTCATTTCGGATCTATGCCCCCCCAAGTGAACGCCTCAAAGCACCTAGGTAAAGGTGTACTTCAGCGCCCACAGCTGGGGATCGTTTCCCTGTATAAGGGGCTGTGTTAAGAAACAGGGGACGTGAAAAGGGACCACAACTGAGCTGAACCTATACTTAGACATGCAAACCCACCAGGCTTCTAACACTGACGTGTTAGAGCAGAAATAGAAGCGTGTGCACGACCCCAGCACTTGACACGCATGATAGTGAAGGTGCGTTTTTGCTGAACAGAAGTGCACGTGCCCCGGTGCATCTGCGCGTTCAGAACATCGAAGCTCGATATTGCCCCTCTGCAACAGGCAACTGCGTATGTTGCGCGACTCACATGTAGCATAGATGGTTGGTGAATTGGACGTGATTGGTCACTGGTTCTCAGGTTTAGGACACAAGGTTGAGGGTGCGGGGCTGTGGGTGGCAGGCTGCAGAGGCACCGGAAATGAGTTTCATCTTCTCGTTGCTCCTGAACCTTAAACACCAAAACCCACCAATCACCAGATCGAAACCTTCAATCCCAAACCAGTGCTCACAGTCCAGTGGGACCCGGTTCAGGCCCTACGCCCCAACGCCCAAAACCCGCAGACTCTGAAACCCGGAACCCCGAAACTCAAGCCTCAAACCCCCTTGAGCACCAAACCCTAACCCTAAACCCTAAACCCTAAACCCTAAACCCCTTGAGCACCAAACCCTAAACGCCTTGTGAAGCCCGAGCCAGAGCCACGCCTTCTTGTCTGCGACTGCCGCGCTGGTGACTTCAGCAAGGCTCGCGATGCACTGGTGCAGATGAAGAAGAGCTTTGGATCTCTGGGATTGCACCCATAGCTCTTCAGTGTGGCTCCAAGCTAGGGGAGAGGTTCTGAGGCTCAGGGTTGCGCAGGCCACCCGAAACCCCCAAACCCTGAACCTTGGGTATTTAAGAGGGATGGGTGCTTGATGCTGAGAACTCTCAAGTCTTGGAGTGACCCTGAGTAGATGCAAAGAGGGTTCGTGCTTTCAGGGTGCCGTGGGCTTTAGGGTTGCAGGGCTTACAGGGCCGCAAAACGTGTTTAGGCTTTGGGGTTTAGGGAAAGAATGGGTTTCTGGGCTTCGTGAGCCCTGGGTCCAGGGTGCAGGGCTCAGTCTAAGCACTACCCTCGCGGCCAGTGATGCTTTTGGATGCACTCCGCCTTATCCAAAGGGACTGTATGGGCCGCTCAAGTTCACCCCAAATTCCTAAGCCTTAAGGCCCTAAACCCTCCGTGAGGCCTTAGCGTGCAAGAGGCTGCTGCGGCAGAAGGGGGATATGCCCAACAGATCGCGTATGCTACAGCCGGTTCTGATGATAGGCATTGGCGCCAGACTGAAACCACCCCTAAGACTTAATTTCTGCTGTTGTCCACGGAGCATGAGCCGAACCTTTCTTTTCGGGCCCCTAAAGCCCAAACCCCAGACCATCTACAAAAGGCGGGGGCCCCAACATGCAGAAGGAACCCAGGAGCCATGGAGGCCGCCTTGCCCGGTGGCAGCGAGGGCAGCTGCACACTGGCGGCCAGCAGCTCCCTGGGCGTGGGCCGGTCGACCGAAGCTGGCGCTTTGAGCCTGGGAGTTTTTAAGTCTGGTGCTATTGGGGTTGATGGGTTATGGGGTTATGGGGGTTCCGGGCTACTGGGGTCATGGCGTTCTGGGGTTGTGAAGTGATAGGTGGTTCTAGGGTTCAGGTGGTTCAGGTGGTTCAGGCGGTTCCAGCGGTTCGGCTTTGCATACAAAAGAGGCCTTAATGATTTGAACAGGGTTCTCGGGGCGATTATCGTATATTTATATAGGGGCCGTAAGGGGGCTTAAGGTCGAGGGTTCGAGTCTCAGGATACGACGCTCTCAACACCGAAGCGAGTTTCTTGGCAAGCAGGCATGCAAAACATGAAAGCACGAAAGCAAGTGCGGGGCTACTAGGGCTAACGGAACGCGATTATTGAGCATTGCTTTCTCACGGCCAATGACTACGTACCACTGAACGCGTCGTTACTAAACACAACAGTTGCTTATCATTACGAGGAAAACCTTACGAAACACTAACCACAACACTGATATCAATCAGCATCTTGAGAACCATCTGACTTCAACCCCTGCAAACCCTTAAAAGCCCTGACTCCCTGAAACCCCCTCAAACCATTCTAAAACCCTTATCAGCCCTTGCTGGTCAGGACAAAGCCTTATACCTTGTACAGGGCCGGAGCTGCTTGGCTTTGGTTGGTGCAGGGGGCTTCCCAGTGTCAAGCCCAGAGGCTAAGAGGCTCCTTCGTCAGGTCTGTGATCAAGCAGGAGGGGGTTGCAGTGAGTTCAGAATGCCGGAGCTTGAGAACCGGATTTGGCGTGGACGTAGACGTCTTGGCAACCCCTGAAGACCCTGATACATCAGACCCTGATACATCAGGGGCTATGAGGGAATCCGGAAGCTTGCTGGCAGAGGGCTTGCTCGCTGCCGCAAAACTTCGGTGCAGAGTCCTGCTCAAGGGAAGTTTGGGGCTACAGTGGCCTTTCAGCTCTTGAACCGTTAACTCCAACAGTAAAGGGGCCCCACCCCTAGAAGCAACCGAAACCGTTAACCCTTAAAGCCTTGACCAGCTCAAATGCAATGGAGAGAGAGGTTCAGGGCTTAGCTCATTGCAGGGTTTGGGCTTCATCCGCAGTCTTTGCATGAGAAAGGGCCTGGGATTCACAGTGCAGGGTTTTGGAGGGTTTAGGGTTTAATTTCGGAGCACCTCATGCCCCGAATCCCAAGCCACCTTCCAGCCCAGCCCGGGCGCCTGGTCACAAGCCCCCGCATCATCACTTCGGCCATGGCTGGCCCTGAGTATATCGGGGCTTGCGAATGATAAGGGACGCCTAGTATAAACCCCCAAGTAGTAGGATCCCCTTTGCGGACCCCAAGAAGGGTACCCCTAAGATCGTAAACCCACATATAGGCCTTGGGGGGTTTAGGACTCCAGGTAGTCAAGCGAGTCATAGAGAGGGTCCAGGTCCCACTTTGCGAGGCTCAGTGTCGTGTAGCAGGTTAGCCCTTAGGACTTAACACCTTTTTGAAGCATACGCCTCGTTAGGATCCCCTTCAAGGCTTAAAAGCAACATAAGCCTAAGCCACTTGAGACTTTTATTGGCTTCGGGCCTGGAGCTTCGGGTCGGAACCCAAACCTCCAGGACCTTCCCTGATGAACCCTGTAGGCTCCATAAGCCATAAGCCGTTGGAGGCCGGTTCGGGCGTAGGCTCCAGGCTGGCTGCAGGGAGGGTCGAGGGATCCAGGTTTGTTCAGATATCCCCAGCTTGGGCTACCCAGGTCTCCAGGCCACAGTGGGCAATCATGAGGCCATCGGGCAGCAAGTTGAGGGTTCAGAGGACCCGAAGCCCTGAGCCCGAATTCAGACAGGTTGAGGGGCTCAGGCTCAGCGTGAAAAGCCAAACTTCTGGGATTCTGTTCAGCTCGGGCAGCACTATGGGGCGCGGGTAGAAGTGGACATGCTGCTGCTGGTGAACATGCTGCTGCGGTTGAACATGCCTGAGCGTCATCCTGGATTGAAGGAAAGTAACAGCTGCGAACACAAATGCACACACACACACACACAGAGACGCACAGAGACACAAAGAGACACAGAGACACCCAGAGACACAATCGCTCCAAGCAACAGCATGGCGCATTCAAAGGCCCCAGAGCCTTACACCTGAAATCGGCGGTCGGATCGAACTTGTGAAGCTTGAAAACCAACGTCCTGAGACCCTGCAAAATCCTTCAACCCTACGCCCTCAGCCCACTTTCTTACCCCGGAAACACCAACTTGCCCACATGGCTGTTGCTCGAAATAACGGACCGTACTTTCTAGGTAGCAACCTAGGAGAAAATGAAAGATTAAAAAGGAATCCTAAGCTTTCACACAACGGAATACGCAAGTATACCACTGGGCATCATAGCTTTGGTTGGTACCCTTAACTATAAGGAACAGACGATCGTCGAGACCCAAAACAGACACCTATAATTTAGGTCAAATCGAACCCCAGATCCAGGGCTACCACCATATGGAAAAAGGCAAGGACTCCTACAAGCATCCTCCCAATGCATGCTTCGTATCCGCATTCTGAGTACGAGGTCGCCTTAGCTTGCCCATGAAGCTCCAAGCCCACCGGTAACCCGGATGAACCTCCTCGATCCCCAAACCGAATTTCCTGAAAGCTTCGAGGATTCTGAACCCCATCCCCCAGCATAAGCGTCCTAGACCAGCAAGTTCGTTTTCGCTCGCTCGCGCCAGCAAATAGGCAGCCGGTGCATCAGTGCTTTCCTTGCAGAGACAAGCTCGAGAAGCTTAAGAGTTTCGCCGTGGGCTCGGCTCACGCTGAACCATAAAACCCCGAACATGAATTGGAGGGGGTGCTTAGTTCGCTGATGCTCCCTCGGCCTTGTAGGTACTCAAGGGCCTCATTCCCACATCGTCCATTTTGCCACCCCGTCCTGGAATCCTTCCCCGACAACAGCAACCAAAGCCCAAACCCCCAGACCCCCAAACCCGAAACCCGAAACCCGAAACCCCCAAGCCCTCAACCCGAAACCCCCAAACCCTAAACCCGAAACCCCCAAACCCTAGACCCTAAACCCTAGACCCTAAACCCTAGACCCTAAACCCTAGACCCCAAACCCTACACCCCTAAGCCCGCAACCCTAAACCCAAGCTAGCTGCCCTGCTGGGCTCCAGGCCACCCACCCAGCGGCCCCTCGTGCTCTTGGCGCGCTTGGACTCCTAGGAAGAAGCGGGGGGGGGGGGAAGAATCAGAGCTGCGGTTTAAGCTTCAGGGTTTATGTTTTAGGGTTTAGGGTTTAGGGATGTTTAGGGGGGGGTTTTGAGTTTACAGTGCCAGGAGGTTAGCTCCACGGGTTCCATTTAGCTGGAGGCTCGAGGCTAGAGTTTGGGGTTTGGGGTTGAAGGCTTGGCCTAGAAGGGGTTGGAGGGGGGATGAAGGGAAGTCTTAGGGTGAGGCTAACAGGCTCAATTTTGTTTGAGGGGCCCCTATAGGCAACTTGCGCGCCTTGAACTAGCCACGCAACGTCAACCCCGAAAACCCTGAATCCCTGAACCCCTCCCCCGAGACTGAAAGAGTTCGGCCTCGTCCGCCTCGTCGATCTGCATTCGGGTGCAGCCGACGCCGCCCACCTTTGTGGACTCGCCCTCCTGTTCAGGACGAGAGGCTTTGGGGCTTTGAGGGATTTAGGGTTTGGGGGTTGGGGAGGGGTGTAGGCTTTAGAGCAGCTCTGCGCCTAGTTGGCGTTGTGGCTTCAAGTTTCAGGTTCAAGCATCTGGGGTTCGGATCATTACACCCCAGACCCTAAACAGAACACCCAACATTGCTGCGAAAGCCGGACCGTTTCTAGTTTAGGGATGGTTGCCCCTCTCCTTCAGGCTGTCCCGGATCGTCTTCACCTGCGGGCGTGCACAATCTGAAGCACACAGCCCACAAACCTCAAGGCCTTGCAATCTCCGTGGTCTTTTTAGGGTACCATGTGGAGGGTAAAACAGCTTCGGAGATAGGTCGTCAGGATCCTTGGGAACGCTTTGGGTTCGTCGGCTTGATTCTGATATGAACACGGCTGGCAAAAATGAACGTTCAGGGTTGAGGGTGAAGGGTTTAGGCTTTAAGCTTTAGGGTGAGATCATATGGATCATGCCGCCTCTCTTTCCAAGTCCTCCATGGCAACCTTCTGCTTTTCGTAGCTGCTGTTGGCGTACCTCCGATGAAGGAACGTGTGGCAAGGCGCATCTGGCCGTTGAAGGCTTCAGAGGGCTTTGGGGGGTTTTGGAGGGGTTTACTGTAAGGGTTTAAGGTGGCACAAGGGTTTGGGGTTTTCGCGATCTTGGGCGTCGTAGGGTTTCAGGGATTTGTTAGTGGTTTGGGGTTGAGAGGGTGTTGAAACTTCAAGATGCAGAGTCAAAGTGGAGCGCACCACAAAGCCTGCAGACCTTGAATCTAGGGCACGAACTCAACCTTGACGCTTCCAGCCAGTTGATGAATAGCTTCCATTGCCGCGCAAAGACATAAAATACAATTCTGACTTTTGGTGAAGAAACCTTGCCCCCACCTTCCTTTGCGGTCATGTTTTCTGACTGCCCGTGCTGGCTTCCATGGAGATCATAGTGGCACGGAGAGTTTTGCCGAGCTGAAAGAAGAACACCCCTTCCGCTCTTGGACTTGGGAGATTGAGGGTATAGGGTATAGGGTATAGGGTATAGGGTATAGGGTATAGGGTATAGGGTATAGGGTATCGGTATAGGGTATCGGGTTTGGGGAACACTACATGCTAAACCCTCAAAGAGACGGCGAAAAGAAATGCCGCAGGGCTCACGCAACGGCCCCATCGAGCCTCATGAGCAGAGCATGGGGTCCATGGTCTGATACTAACAGTCCTTAATTAGGGATTATATCAGGGGGTACCATTATCCCTAATAAGGACCGTTAGCATAAGGGGAACATCCCAAGGTTATGGTTTTAGGGAAACCATAAACCTCTACTGGTTTAAGGATTGGAGTTTGGGGGTGTAGGGCTTCGGGTTTGGGGTTTGGGTCCAAGGTTTTCTATTGCTGGGCTTCAAGGCCTTGGGTTGTTGGTCTTAAGCTTTGGGTTTTTGGGTTTTGGGGTTGTGGGTTTGGGGGTTTGGGGTTTAGGGTTTGGGGGGGCCTGGAGGGGCCTTGAGCACAGAGGGGAAGGCGCACAAGCCTAAGCCCTAGTCAAAAATGCCCGAGCATATCCCAAGAAGCCGCACCAGAATTAGGCGCTAGAA